GCCATCGGCCCCGAACAGGTGCAAAAAGACACATCCAAGACCTGCACACCATACAAAGCTACAACAGTTCTTCCTACAGAGGGTGCTTGCTTTCTGTTTTCTTCCTTCTCTTTCCCATCTGCCATGTTTCTCAGGAATCTGGGCCACACACCTTTCTACCTGCTAACGTGCAAACAAGGGGTCCCCACAGTTCAAACCGTACCTGGTTGTACCACAGTACAGCCCCCCAAAACTTGACCAGCTTTCGTATTCTGAACAATCGAGATTTTGGCTTGTGCTCGTTCACAGAAGTTTTAGCTGACCGAAACGGTCACGCCTACAAGCGGACAAACCCGAGGTGCACCATTCACCTAACCGACGCGCGCCCGAAAAGTCTAGACTAGCAGCACAGTTGGGGCAGGCCCGCTCTGCTGTTTAAAAGCAGAGAGCTCATGTGAGCATCCTACAGTACGACAGGTCAGAGGTGCTAGCTACTCTGATGCTAACGGAGAAAAGAGGAAGGGCATCGAGGCCCATCTAATCCACATTGTCGGGCAGCCTCCGTTTCCGTGCCAGAGGCAGCTGAGTTCAGAGGAGCAATCGTTATTTACAGATGCACCCCCAGTTCACCGACCCGGAGGCCGGGGAGCAAAAACAAGTTCTCGGGAACGCGCAAGCTGCGCGGGGATCCCATTTAAGAGAGCACGGAAACTGAAAAGGCCACAGGAATCGGACACCCGCAAATAGAGCAGTTTGGAACCGCTCCAGCAGGAAGCATGGGAGAGAGGTAGGCTCTTCCAGGCTTCAGCGAAAGCCGCTCTTCGCCACACCGAAAGCTGGCTGCGGCCTCTGCGCTTGGGCAGGAAACTCGGACGTTACTTTGTTGTCAAGTACAACAGGCTAATGTTAGCTACCATCTAGCGGGTCATCCTTACCTTTGTGATCTTTCAAGCTCCTGGTCTCAAGGGCTCCCGTTGAGCCGGTTTCAGACTCTACATCTTCCACCGATGGTCTCTCTGAGATGTCCGATCGCGTCGTCTCATCCAGCTCCTGACTGGCTCTTTGTCCTGATGGCGACGCTTCTGGCAGCCGTGACGATTCGGCAGAATCGTGCGTCCGGTCGGCCATGCCCTCTGCTGCAGAATCCCCGTAAGCCGTGGCCTCCATGGATGCAGCATAACCCAGAGAAAGTGCCATTTCATCTTGAGCAATTGGTACCTGGAGGGGGGTTAGAAGGTCAGACAGGCAGGAAGACAGCATCTAAAGGATCGCATTCATCTCCCTTCTTCCATCCACACCTGCATATGTGTGCTCCGGTTCCAATCCCGACGCGCAATCGTCACTCTCGTGCCAAAACACGCCAGAATCTAGCCGATTCCAAAGCATTGCGCAGCACCTCCCTCACTCCCGTAGGCAAGTCCAAGGAGAACTCCTTAGATTCTCCGTGAGATTCCCAACCAGCTACAGCAGCAGCCTCCTTTTCTGCAGCTGCCGTTTGCAAACTGCCACCGGCAACTGCCCTGTGGACTGGCGAGGTACCTTTGACGCTCACCGGGAAGCAGCGACCGGCCGCAAGGAAGCGGCGAAAGGGTTCTGCCGAGCGAATTGTCCGCGCCGGCACCCTCCCACAGCGGTCCCTATGGGACAGGGCAGTTTCGGGCATGCATCCCTAGAAACTGCCTCCCAGATTGGAAATGGAGCCCTCTAGCTACCAGAGACCTTGGAAACTCCCGAGATGATCAGCGTGCTACGTTTTGTCGGGGTCTTCTTGGCAGGCTTGTTATTCGTCTCAGTTAGCTGCCTGATCGCCGTCTCGGCCACCGGATCCAAGCCATTGGGCATATGGCTATCCCCTGAACACAAGAAAGATGTGCTTGAAGTAGCAACGTCCAGCACGGGCAAGAGGTCACTTGCTGACCGCAATGCTCGTAATAGGCAACTATGCGTACATGAAGGCAGAGAACAGAATTTATTAGGGACTTGCCCAAACAAACCAAAAGAAGGAAGCCCCATATGGCTCTTGGCTCTTTAAGGCAGCCAAAAAGTTTTATTTCCCACCAAGCATATAATTAAAATACCCCTCCCCCCTCAACCAAGACTTCCAAGAGTCTGGGAAGCCTCGGCCACAAACCATCAAAACGGTCGCAGCGCTCTGTTCCGGAGACGACCGAAGCCCCGAGCGCAGGGTGAGCAAAGCTCTTTGGGTCCAGATAGCCTGGAATGTTCTTGTCAAGCAAGGAAACACCCAGAGTCACGGACCAGAGAGCCAAAGTGGTCTTTCTTTTACCTGCCCCCACCCGGCACCACCCCTCCACCTGCGCCTTCGCTCAGGTGCTTGGACATTCTCTCCCGCAGCAAACGCAGAAGAGTTTGGTGACCCGCGTTCAGGCCACCACTCTCCAAGAAAGGCTAAGGAACACAATCGCTCCAGTAATAGCCTCGGATTTCCAAGCACTTACAGCTACCGCCAGTCAAGGGGCCGCGAGTGCAGCTGCTCTCCAGAAGCACCGTTGTCTTCTTTTCAGTCACTTCCACCTTGGAAGGCGACCTCGATGGTGAATCTTCACGGGGAAAGGGAGGCAGAGACACAGAGACACCAGTAAGTGGAGATGAAGCTTAGGCAACTTCACTACTGTATCGTGGCCACCTACGCCACCCCCAAAAAGCCTCGAGTGCGCACATGCACAGAGAGCCTGCGGAGGCTGGCTCCGTGAGGCTTTGCGGCAACCGAGTAGTAAGAAGCCTATTGGAAAAAGACTCATTGCAAGACGCCATTCCTCCTGTTTCCCACCCCCTCCTCATGGAATATCCAGCACTGCATTCATCGGGACGTCAGAACGCAAGCAGCAACAACCGCTAGAAAGCAAGGTCAACGTGCTTTCGGCTCCACATTCAGTACATACAGCATTAACTTCTTTAGCAACGAAGAAAATAGAGGAAGAGTGGAAAAATGCTTTGCCTGACATGACGCAGAGGTTATACAGCAGCGTACATGTTAGCGCCGGGACCTCCCGCCACCAAAGGGTGTCAGAGTGGATCGTCTCTCACCTCCCCCCAAACACAGGGTGGCATCGATTCCCTCCCTCAACGCTACACGCGAGTCTCCAGCCAGCCACGAGACGCTAAGGGAACCGTGACGACGCCCACATTCCGACCCAGGAGACAAAAGCGCCGCGCGAGGCGTGAGGCCGCAACGACCATGACGGCTATGCAGTTTTGCTACCGCCCGCGTGAGCGGCCTCAGGAATATCGCGGCTGTGGCCATGCCCCCGTACGGACACATGTACGAGACGCCCGTTGCAGGGCAGCCTCACCCAGTTTGCAGTCTGCCTTGGGCCGGGACTGAATTGTGGTGACAGTAGTCACGATGGTGCCGTCAGGCATGATGGTCCGGTCCATCTCCACCTTCTTAGTGGGGGTGATGCTGGTTCGCAGCGAAGTGGCGTGCTGAGCGTTCAAAGATGCGGGAGACTCCTGGAATAGCAGCTACAAAGAGTAAAGCAGAGCTCAGACAGGCTCTCCTCCTCCTAGACAGAAAGGCAGGCATACAGGTGACAAAAGCGATTGCTCTGGGCACCGAGGAGCCATCCCCACTACAACACCGGTTGAACGGAGTTAAGGCTCGGGGACCAAGGGCCAGGCGATGCCCCTCCTCGGCCTAAGGGTCCACCAGTCCCCTGCAACAAACCCAGGCCTAATCAGGCTCACACGGTGAAGTCATCCCGAGCTTAGGGACGAGCTTAGGGAGTCATGAGCTCACCTCCAATATAATGGTAGCTTCGGCCGCCAGGGACCTCCCAGCTCCCGAGGCCAGCGAGCAGACCTGTCTCCCAGATGGCTGTTTGCCCAAGGAATCAAGCAAAAGCGTGGCGTGTGCCAGCAGCACATCTGCGAGAAGGAACAGGAAAACAAAACACACCACACAACCTCAGCACCTCGACATCTCCCAGGCAACCCCCGCTTTTGGGAAGCAGCCCCATGGGCCAGGAAAGCCGATCCCCAGGACTCCGGTAGCCCCCAGGTTCAAGGGGAAGAAGGGGCAGGCAGCGTTCCTCTGCTCTTCTTTACCAATCCAGAATTCGATTCCCTTAAAGAGGGGGCCGTTGCACAGCCTCCATCAAAAACAGGCGCTGCGGTTAGTCCCTGACAGAGCACAAATGAACAGAATTAAGAGCCTTCTGCAAAGCTCTTCCAATACATGTGGGCAAATCCCCACACGCTTCTCCCGCTTCAGAGTGGAGACGGGTGGGCCACGGGAACCTCCCCGGTACCAAGAAGGCCAGAGTAAGAGCGTTTCGCTAAGAAGAACGCTTAGGGTTTACTTCACACAGTCAGAGGCTCACATAAAGTTGGATACGAAAAATCCTCAGCCGAGTTCATCACGCATCGTACCAACACAGAACTACCACAGGTTCAAAGCACAGGAAGTCCCATGGACATTTTTGTCTCCCCGTCTAACAATGCACCTTACAGCCATCCATACTCACTTGCCCCTCGATCACTGTTCCCCAGCACCTGCAGTTTCAGCTCTTTACTCCTAGGTCCCAACTCCCTGTTGAAACAGAAAAAGAAGGACTGGTATTAGGCAAAAAGTCCACGGAGCAAACAACCCTGTTCCGTAATCCCAAATGCCCTGTCGCCTTTTCCAAAGCTCCGGTATGCGTGGACTACTTTGGAGGACATGACAAGGAGCAGCAAACTACACAGAGGAGGAGAACTCTGGTTCACGTCCCCTGCAGGGCCAGCCCCCCCGGCCGGCCCAGCCATGTAGGCTGCCAGGGGAAGCTGACGGAGCGATCTGTCCGGAAGGCTGCGATTTACGCTCCAGGCCTTCTCCGCCCGCCACTCCTGAACGCCGCCTGTGATCAGCACTTCTGCGCATCTGGTTAAGATGCAGAGCGTCCAGGGGAGCAGGAAACAGGTATGCAAGCTGGAGCCCATTGCCAGAACTGAGAGCCTAAAACGCAGGCAGCACAAAGACATGCCGCCCTGCGGTGCTTACTTCACCTCTGCACCGTCCGCATCAGTTACTACGCCACAGTAACGACACCCAGCGCCCGTGCCGATCCGCCTCCACCATGCCAGCCGGAAGGAGGGCAGACACTTACAGAAAGAGCTCCTCATTCCACTCCATCTCTGCAGCAGCACCAGCACTACCAGCCATCGCCGGCCTCGTCCGCTTCTGCTGCGGGGGACTGTCTAGCTCTGCCACGCAGTATATCTCCCCAAATCCTGCAACGGAGGGACGCAGAGCACACGTGCGCTCATCAACATGAGGCGGTGGCTCAGTGGATGCATGCCTCCGTTTGCCGTTCAAACCCACCCAAAACATCCACTCGCTCCATTCTCACCGCCTACGCGGTCGCCTCTGCAGACCAGCGATGTTTTCATGCTTACCTCCCTTCCCCTGGCAGCCCAAGTTCAGCACTCGAAGATTCCGGAGCAACAGCTTAGAACCCAGAGGAGCCACTGCTGCTCCAGCTGGGGACTCTCGAGTTGTCTTAGTACTGGGTACCTGAGGAACCAGAGCGAGATCGGTGCCTTTATCATTCACTCGCCAGCAGACAGCAGCAAGACATGTGACGATCGCCCTTGCATCTACTAAGTAGTTCCTCACACCAACATAGGGGAATACCCACCGAGCCATCAAGAGAGGCTGCAGGTTCCCCAAGCTACGGACCTCTGGTTGGCCCCCGTGTTCTTAGATGGGAAAGATAAGGCAGACGGGAAAAGATGCAGACAAGAACAAGCTTGCTGGCTGCCAGGCGGACAACTGAAGTTGACAAACCATCGACCGTTCCACACCTGCAACGGCTGCCCCAAACCGAGCCCTGGGATTCGGAGCAACAGACTGCCAAAACAGAGATGCATCTCGGGCAGTCCAGCTCTGCCTCGACGCAGCCAGCGCTCGGCGTTCAGGAAATCACAGAATCACAGAATGTTAGA